CTAGGAAGTCTCAAAACTACAACTAAATTTGGAAAGGGTGTTTGTCACTTGAAAATTACTCCACTGACAAGATCTGAAGCAACTGGTAAGGGACATAAGCTGGCATATCATGTGTCTTGGTAGTGATCATTTAAGTACTTGAGAAATGCTGAACAATCATCAGATCTCTGAAGAACGGTTCAAGGGGTTATTTAGTCTGAAGAAATGGAACAAATTATCGGGGGGTACTGACACACTATTTCCCAGAGAGAGAGCTCCAAGAGGTGAATTTAAACTTCAGTTGGATATACGTTAGACCCAAGAAACCTCTTGTTGAGAAGTAGTACTAAACATTTTGAAGGGATATAAGGCAATCTCTAAATCAATTTGCAGTTAGAGCAGAGAGAAACCCCATTTTGAATTGTTTGGTTATATCCTGCCTGGGGTCAGAGACCGAGATCTTTGAAGTAGTGTCCAGTTCTCTGCATAGAATGACTCTAAATACCATCTGATCATCATTTGTTTATTTTTTCACTGGTTATTTTGGAAAAGCTTTCAAAGTAAAATAAGGACTAGTGGGAAGACAAGATGCCTAACTTGAGTGTTTTTGTTTCAATCCTAGAGACTTTGGGGTGAGATTGTCAAATGAATTCATGTGCTTTGAAAAGCTTTTATGATTTCTTAATGAGGTTTAAAAGCTAAAGGAATGGGATTAGGACCACAAAATCCTTTACTCTTAACATTGTGTCTTTGAACTGATTTAGTGCATTTGTATATTAGAAATAGAGATCTGATTTAGATTGAATCCTCATTGTTTGCAAAAATATGGTCTGGAAAAAATTTCCTAGACACACAAACAGAATTAAATTTTGTAATGACAAAGGACAGCTATGCTCTAGCTCTCGAGTTAAAAACTTCCGTTAGAAAAAGTTAACATCATTTAATATATAGGAATGCTTGAGACTTTTCATGCATCATTAGATTTGGATGCTATCTATTTATACATTGAATCTTAGTTCAGTGGAAAATGTTTGGTAGAAAAAGTTCAGCTGAGAAAGTAGATTATATATTATGTTATAGGGGACATTGCAGGAAACTGTACATTTACATCTTTTGTTTTTCAAAAGACTAAAATAGAACCAAGTTACAATGCAATTGTTGGGGTAAATTGATGTCTTAGTCTGTTTGGGCTGCTATAACAAATTACCATGGACTGGGTGACCTAAACAGCAGACATATTTATTTTTCAGTTCCTAGAGACTGGGAAGTTCAAGATCAAGGCACTGCTCAGGCAGATGTTGGTTTGTTTGTTTTTTTTTTTTAATTTTTGTAATGTTTATTCATTTTTGAGAGAGAGAGAGACAGAGCATGAGGGAGGGAGGGGCAGAGAGAAAGGGAGACAGAATCCAGAGCAGCTCCAGGCTCTGAGCTGTCAGCACAGAGCCCGATGCAGGGCTTGAACCCACAGACTGTGAGATCATGACCTGAGCTGAAGTTGGCCGTTTAACCAATGGTGCATCCAGGTGCACCTAGGCACTGGCAGATTCTAATGAGATCTTACTTCCTAGTTAATAGGTGCCACCTTCTTGCTGTGTCCTCAAATGGTGGAAGGGGCAAGAGAGCCCTGTGGGGTCCATTTTATAAAGGCACTAATCCCACCCTCATGACCTAAGGCTTCACCTCCTAATACTATCACTTTGGGGGTTAGGATTTCAAAATATGTATTTTAGGGGGACAAAATATTTAGTCCACTGCAATTGGGGAAAAGAGATAAATATTTAGCTATTTCTTTAATCTTTGAGAGAACTGAGTGGCACAGTTAATTGGATTTAATGACAATGTGATCTTGTTTCCAGTGTGGACGAGGCTTGAGATTTGAGTCTGAAGACCTCCATTCTAACTGGAACTATTTCTTGCCAGTTTTGTCGCTTTGGACAGGATAACTCCTCTGGGCCTGCTTTATTTCCATGTTTTAAAATGTGAAGACTAATAATATATCTAATGGTTTATTATATGAAACAAATTAACGTAAATGAAAGTGCTTTGAAAGTAGAAAGACAGATATTAGATTTTAAACAGTATATTTTTATTTGCTCTTATTGACAAGGAACCCCTCAATGAAAATCTGAGTTAGGTGATTAGAGGGAAAATTTATAGTTCTTAAAAAGGCAAACAGGAAAAAATTCTTTACTAATAAATTTAAGTTAGTATAAATATAGTAAACCTGTAGTTAGTTGTGGTTCTCTAATGGATTAGTTATAGTAGTTTCTCATATTGATTATTTTAAAATATGTGTTTTAAAATAGTACTATAGTTGGAGGTTTGTGACTCTGTTTCATAGAAATACTGTGTTTAAAGTAGAAAATGTGTTTACAATATTTAAAGGAAACTGTGTTGTATCATAAATATCGGGATGGCTGAGAAGCACTCTGGAATTATGTAATATATTCTTTCCGGATATATTATAGACCCAGTGCAATGGAAGAATATGTAAAATGTTTCACACCTCAAATATTTTATCATGCTTGCTGCACATAAATGCAGGTGTGTATCATATGTTGTAAGCCTTTTAAAAATGAATTGTGAATGAGAAACTCATACTCCGTTGGTCGTATCTAATTATGAATTAGTCACAGCTAGATTGTCGTACACACTAACTCTGCTTTCTGGCCTGCAAAATAATTTGATACGGGATGGCAGTTATAAAGTAGGCTTTGCACACGGATTGGTAAATCCAAAGTAAATTTCAGACATGTCCAACTTTTTGATCTTTGAAAATGACGAGATCACAAGAGTATTACTGAAAATATCTTAAATGCAATTTGGAGTTAGTACACTGAGCTGGGTTTCAAGTACTTGATAAACCCAAAAAGGATTGTATCTTTGGGGCAACTATATAAACATTCCCAGCAGCTCTTCAGAAGTTCCATAGGCAATTTTCATACCAAATTAAAATTTTTATATGTTTTAGAATATCCTCATATTTCAAACTGATTGATATATATGTAATTTAAATTATTGCAAGTGATTGTTTGAAGTAGATGCTAAGAATGGCTTTTATTAACCTACAAGGTTAAAAAAAGCTAATATAAAGGGTAGCTACATTTAATAATATAACTTCAGAGAATTTCAGCAAATTTCTGAGCTGTGTCTTTAAAAGTTGTTAACTTGTGACTATTTCTAATGAAATCTAATGAAATCAGGCTAAATTTGAAGAGCACCGAGTCTTATTTGGAGAGATGTGTGGTTTTAAATTAGGATGCAGAAACTACATGGTTTGACAGGCCATCTGATAAATGCAAATAAGACCAACTGTGTATGAGGACTGAATGAGAGAAATTAACATATGTAGGCTGCTTGGAAAAGCTAAGTGTTCATCTAAGTGATGTAAATATGGCATTTTAAAATACATTAACATCCAAGTTTCTGTGGAAACTTCTCTGTAACCTAAAGGAATTCAGGGGCTGAGTATGATCTCATATATGGGTGGGGTCCTGTCTATATATACCTTGCCAAAATGTCCTCTAGTGAAAAGTAAACTGATCTATGAAAATCTATTTGCCATATCGTGTCTTATGATGGAGAGGGTCTCTGAAGACAGTGTTTCCAATTTTGTTTGAAATACTGCAGCTATTATAAGATATCTGTGCTTTCTCACAGAATGAAGACAAACACAGAGATGGTGTGTCTAAGAAATTTCAAAAGGTGTCGGCCTCCTGATTGAAGCACAGTCAACTTATTGGATTCCTTTTTTTTTTTCATCCAGTAAGTGTAAATATTTAAAGTACTTTATTTTGGTCAATGTTGACTTGTGTTCTTTGTTGAATGAATAACCGCTGTCTGAATACCCTTATCTCTATTTGTGTTTATATTCTTTTGCAATTTCAGTCTCATGTCTTAAATGAATTTAACTTTCAGGACCTTTAAGGGGACAAATTCAGCCATAAACTTTGAGGCTGGCGGTGTCCTTAGAGACAATTTGGTTCATTCTCTTTATCCATTAAAAAACCATGCTGCTGTGATTTTTTTCTTCTTTTTTCTTACTAGATATGTTATTAGACCCAAATGTTTCCTTTTTATTTCTCGTACTCTGTGCCATTTTATAGGTTGTCCGGATTTTACTAATTAGCAATTTTTTAAACAATTGATTTATATAAGGTTGAACGTTACATAAATCATTTCTGTAAGGAACATTGCCTGAATACTTTTTAATGTGAAAATGGAAAATCTACCTCTTGTTTTTCTGAGGCAAAAAATAATTTAGTAATAGAGTATACTCTTACTTATTTATCCTATTAGTTACTTGCCATCAAAACATTAACCACGAGTGAGAATCCCCCCATAGTAGCATGTTCTGAGTTTTTCTTCCCTATCCCGTGTTAAGCCACTAGTGTTGGTTCATCAGCTTTGAAATACTCTAAGTTGGACATGAACTTAAGTTACAAAGCAAGAGCTTGGGGGGAAAGGAGATAATGCATTAACTCACAGTTTGTTTTGAATGTAGAACTGGTAGATCCCTCTAATCCTAAGGGATAACTACGTAAAGCAGTGCTTGCTCAAAAGAGGTTCCCCATGGTGGTTGAAACACAACTCTTAGGCTGTAACTGATGCGCCAGGTGTGGGACAGGATGTGGAAAAGAGCTTACTCAGACCATTTGGAAGGCATAAAATATGGCTTCTGGTTTTTAATAGCTTGGGATGGAGTCAAGATCCAGGAGGAAACTAGATAGTTGCTTCACAATCTGCCCTAAATACCTTTATAGATCCAGTCTGGCTATCACCAAATGGTCTCTCATCTGAAGGACTTTATAGTGCACAGTTGGGATGGCCTAAGGTTTCAAATGAAACCAGAAGACATTTATATCCTTTGATCAGCCCTGCCTCCCAGATTTGGTCCCTGAGCTAGATCCTACTTGGGTACCTACAAGCATTAGAGTTAAATGCTTATTTTGGATACTCCCTTCAGTGGTTTTTCTTTTTATTTTCCTCTCCCAGTTTCCGTACTCCTACAAGGGAAAGTCATGATTACGCTAACAGAGCTGAAATGTTTAGCAGACGCCCAGTCATCTTATCACATCCTAAAACCATGGTGGGACGTCTTCTGGTATTACATTACCCTGATCATGCTGCTGGTGGCCGTGCTGGCCGGAGCTCTCCAGCTTACACAGAGCAGGGTTCTGTGCTGTCTTCCATGTAAGGTGGAATTTGACAATCACTGTGCCGTGCCTTGGGACCTCCTGAAAGCCAGCGCAAACACATCCTCTGATCCTGGGACACCGCTCCCACTTCCCCTCAGAATCCAGAATGACCTCCACCGACAGCAGTACTCCTACATCGATGCTGTCTGTTACGAGAAACAGCTCCATTGGTTCGCCAAGTTTTTCCCCTACCTGGTGCTCTTGCACACACTCATCTTTGCAGCCTGCAGCAACTTTTGGCTTCACTACCCGAGTACCAGCTCCAGGCTCGAGCATTTTGTGGCCATCCTTCACAAGTGCTTCGACTCCCCGTGGACCACGCGTGCCCTGTCCGAAACAGTGGCCGAGCAGTCGGTGAGGCCCCTGACACTCTCCAAGTCCAAGGTTCTGCTTTCGTCCTCAGGGTGTTCAGCCGACGTCGATTCCAGCAAGCAGTCATTGCCCTACCCACAGCCTGGCTTGGAGTCGGCCAGCATAGAAAGCCCAACTTCTAGCGTCCTGGACAAGAAGGAGGGCGAACAGGCCAAAGCCATCTTTGAAAAAGTGAAAAGGTTCCGCATGCACGTGGAGCAGAAGGACATCATTTATAGAGTGTATCTGAAGCAGATCATAGTGAAAGTCATTTTGTTCATCCTCATCATAACTTATGTTCCATATTTCCTAACCTACATCACTCTGGAAATCGACTGTTCCATTGACGTGCAGGCTTTTACAGGATACAAGCGCTACCAGTGTGTCTACTCCTTGGCGGAAATATTTAAGGTCCTGGCTTCATTTTATGTCATTTTGGTTATACTTTACGGTCTCACCTCCTCTTACAGCTTGTGGTGGATGCTGAGGAGTTCTCTGAAGCAATATTCCTTTGAGGCGTTGAGAGAGAAAAGCAACTACAGCGATATCCCTGACGTCAAGAATGACTTCGCCTTCATCCTCCATCTGGCCGATCAATATGATCCTCTTTATTCCAAACGCTTCTCCATATTCCTCTCGGAGGTCAGTGAGAACAAACTAAAACAGATCAACCTCAATAACGAATGGACGGTTGAGAAACTGAAAAGTAAGCTTGTGAAAAATTCCCAGGACAAGGTAGAACTGCACCTTTTTATGCTAAATGGTCTTCCAGACAACGTCTTTGAGCTGACAGAAATCGAAGTGCTCAGCCTGGAGCTTATCCCGGAGGTCAAGCTGCCCTCCACAGTCTCGCAGCTGGTCAACCTCAAGGAGCTTCATGTGTACCATTCATCCCTGGTGGTAGACCATCCAGCGCTGGGCTTTCTGGAGGAGAATTTAAAAATCCTCCGCCTGAAATTTACTGAAATGGGGAAGATCCCACGCTGGGTATTTCACCTGAGGAATCTCAAAGAACTTTATCTGTCAGGCTGTGTTCTACCTGAGCAGTTGAGTACCATGCAATTGGAGGGCTTTCAGGACTTAAAAAACCTGAGGACCCTCTACTTGAAGAGCAGCCTCTCCCGGATCCCTCAAGTCATTACAGACCTCCTGCCTTCTCTGCAGAAGTTATCCCTTGATAATGAGGGAAGCAAGCTGGTTGTGTTGAACAACTTGAAAAAGATGGTCAATCTGAAAAGCCTAGAGCTTATCAGCTGTGACCTGGAACGCATCCCACACTCCATTTTCAGTCTGAACAATTTGCATGAGTTAGACCTAAAAGAAAATAACCTTAAAACTGTGGAAGAGATTATTAGCTTTCAGCATCTCCAGAACCTTTCCTGCTTAAAGTTGTGGCACAATAACATTGCTTATATTCCTGCCCAGATTGGGGCACTATCTAATCTAGAGCAGCTCTCTTTGAACCATAATAATATTGAGAATCTGCCCCTACAGCTTTTCCTATGCACCAAACTACATTATTTGGATCTAAGCTATAACCATCTGACCTTCATTCCGGAAGAAATCCAGTATCTGAGTAATTTGCAGTACTTTGCCGTGACCAACAACAATGTAAGTATATCTGTTCTTGCCTTCATTTAGCTGGTGTTTTGAGTGTCTGTTGTAGCGTATAATGCGCGTAAAGAAAATGGATTTGTAGTCATACTAAGCATCCTCTGAGCCTGGCCTGTCTGCCACTTACCAGTTATGTGACCGTGGGCAAATTACCAAAACACTGAGCATCAGTTTTTAATCTAACTGATAAGTTGTCATGGAGATTTTATAGAAGAAAAAATTATATTTATATTTATATTATTTATATTTATATTTATATTTATATTTATATTTATATTTATATTTATATTTATCTAGTTAAAGCACCAGTTCCTAGCACATAGTAATGCTCAACGAATGTTCTCTTTATTCTCTGTCCCCATTTTTCACATAAACATCACAGCTGAAGTATTTTAAACTAATTGTAACAGAGCTTACTTTTCATTCTGGAAAGATCTTAAGTATTTAGGAAGCTTCATAAAAGTTTTTAGCTTTCCAAATCTGTCACAGGAGAAGAACTTTTTGTTAAAAATACTGGGATCATGAATTATTCATAAATCTTTTTTGTGATGCAGTAAGAAAAACTGGAAATCTACATGCATGTCTAGAAAGACAATTCCAAATGAAAGGCCTGGTTCTATAATGCAACACTAGGGCTTCTTAGAAGCTTTTTCCAGCATCCATACTTTAAAAATGAACCATAATTTGCAACAGTAAAGCCAAGTTAAGGAAAACTTGACTTCACTGAAACAAGAAAAAACAAAACAAATGACTAGTTTCCTAGGTTAAAATGTGAAGGAGGAAGAAAAAGAAAAAAAAAAAAAATCATGCTAGCCAAAAGGGCAAGAGAGTGATGGTAATGCCCCTATGGGAAGAAGAAAAATAATCTTTCAGAAATCAGGTCTGCCAAAAGACGAAAGCGGTCTTCCAGTAGTAGAAAATGGGAACTACTTCCTCCTACCCCACCCAAAAAAGGTACTATCTCTTAGACTTTTTGTAATTCGCATTTCATGCTAAATATAGCTACGAGCATGCTGTTGGCTAATAAACATATTAATCACCAGACATTATTTTCAAAAACCATGGATTGGAAAAACACCAAAAAGTTGAGGAATGAGAGCAAAATTCATGCCAATTTTTAGAAAATTGATTTGACTCATATATGCAAAAAGCTAGAGCCCATTCTAAAATAAATGAGAAATCTTCAGGTCTTTTTTTTTTTTTAATGTCTTTTTTTTTTTTTTAAGTTTATTCTGAGAGAGTGAGTGAGAAGGAGAGGGGCAGAGAGAGAGGGAGAGAGAGGATTCCAAGCACCCTCGAACTCACGAACCGTGAGATCATGACCTGAGCTGAAACCAGGAGTCAGACGCTCCATTGACTGAGCCACCCAGGCGCCCCTGAGAAATCTTAAGGACTTAAAGGATTAGGAGGCTGTAAAACTCCTTGAGGGTTGATCTAGATTAGCAGTGTTCATCAGAATTACCTGAAGGGCTTGTTAAAACACCGATTGCTGGACCCCACTCCCAGAGTTTCTGATTCAGCAGGTTTGGTGTGTAGGGTCCAAGAGTTTGCATTTCTACAAAATCCCAGATGAAGCTGATGCTGCTGGTGTGGTGACCATACTTTGAAAACTACAGGCCTAGAGATTTATCATTAGTGTTGTTTAATTATGCAGTAGATTAATATTAATATTTTGGCTATACTTTTCCATTGTTAAATCACAAAAAATCATTAATAATTATTTTGAAAGGCACTGGTTCCACTAGTTGTTGTATAGTTATATCACTACATGAATTTTTGAAAGTTGAAGCTGATTAAATTGTTAGCTGGCCATGAATTACTTAAATGTATAGGCAGGTTAATGTTTTTTCCTAGTTTAATGTAATAAAACCTTAAGACCATTGGTACTTTTGACACCAAGTTTATTGACTTCTTTACCATATGTGAAAGAAAAACTAGGTGTGAGTATCAGACACATTTTATTTTGAGTTAGGGAGGATACTTGGTTGACATGTAAAGTCTTATGGTGAAGGCAGTTTATGGCCAAAGTAGAATGATATCTTAGGCTGGGTTGTCTCAGAAGTCTAATAACCAGGGGCACCTGGGTGGCTCAGTCAGGTAAGCATCCAACTTTAGCTCAGGTCATGATCTCATGAGTTCAAGCTCTGCATCAGGCTCTGTGCTGACAGCTCAGAGCCTGGAGCCTGCTTCAGATTCTGTGTCTCTCTCTCTGACCCTTCCCCACTCATGCTGTCTGTCTGTCTGTCTGTCTCTCTCTCTCTCTCAAAAAAAAATTTTTTTTTTAAAGAAGTCTGATAATCAGCAATTGCTAAGCATCCCAGAGCCATAACAATGACCATGACACCTTTGAATGGTTGAAGGACACTGTCCTTAGAACTCTGAAGAGACTTATTTAATCAGGATATGGAGAAAGTGAAACTCACTCAGAAGACAGCAGCCAGAGAGATGAAAAGTTCTCTGATGGAACAGCCTAATAATAGGAAATATTGGGGAGGGAAGGGAAAAGAATAGTCCATGATATTGGTCTTTAAATATTTGGAACACTTAATAGAAAAGAAATCTTCTGGAAAGTAACCATGAGTGTTTGAACCAAGACAAGCAGGAAAAGATTTCTCATGTTTCCCGAAATCCTGTCCAAAAATTGAACCTTTGAGAAGGGAGAAATGATTTTTATTTTCTTCTTTTTTTCTAAGTTTATTTATTTATTTTAAGAGAGACAGAGAGAGAGAGAGAGAATGAGTGGGAGAGGAGCAGAAATAGAGAGAGAAGGAATCCCAAGCAGGCTCTGCACTGTCAGCACAGAGTCCAATGAGGGGCTCAGTCTCATGAACCATAAGGTCATGACCTGACCTGAAACCAAGAGTCAGATGCTTAACCAACTGAGCAACCCAGGTGCCCTGGTTTTCTTATGAATAAAACTGTCAGATATGGGTCGTCAACTACTTGGTAGGAATATTGTTAAAGGGAATCAGGGATTCATGCTTCAGTTTCAAGTTTCCTTCTAACTTTGAAATTCTTAAGATTCTATGAGGTAGACCAAAATATTTATTAAAATTAGAAAATAAAACATCAAATTGGATGCATAAATATTTAGGTATGCATAGTCTCAGAAATGTAGTTGATCTCTCCATTTGGAATAGAAGTTAGTAAAGATTCCTGAAGGAAGAGGTTTTAAAATACTCTTCTAAAAAGTTGGGGAGTATACCAGGTTCATGGATGGAGGCAACAAATACTCTCTGTGGTTTAGTAGAAAAGACATTTATTGAAATGTCATATTATCACTGAAAAGGCTGAATAATTGAGCTTGGAAAGCAATCAAGCATAGAATTAGATAGCCAAAAGGCCAAAATTATAGCACAAAAGCAAAATGGTGAGGATACCCTGCCGTTGACCATACCAGCACTGGGCACAGCATTGCCCCTGAAAATTAGATGCTGCTGCTAATGCACTCCTTGCCCTCCCACAAAATAGGTTCTTCATGGTTTCTGCTGCTTTGTGACAGGAGCCCCAATTTAAAGTCCAAGTCTGAGAGCTTATGAACGCCCACCCACACTCAAGCTGTAAGGGAGCTGGGAACACTAGAATCTGGTGTTGTCAGTCCCCCCAGTGGGAAGTGGACTCTGCTTCCCACCAAGATAAGGTAGGGAATTCTCCAGACATTGAAGATACTGGGCATCCCCCAAATGACAGACATTCCCAGAGAGGGCACTCTAGAGTTTCTTCCACAAGGTAGTAATCAGTGTTACCACACAGAACACTAAACACTTCTTTTTGTCATATTTTTTTGCTGCAGGATTCCTCAGAGCCTTTAGAATTTGAATATGCATTGTGCTTCTCTAAGAGAGACATGACATGCAACGTTTACCAAACGTATTTGAGCAAGATACTCTTAAATATTTTAGTTTTTTTTTTTTTTTTT